TATATATATCACAGTAATTTCTAATAAATTTATGTTAAATTTTTATTGTTTTATGTACAAAAATATGATTAAACAATTTCAGTCCCAATACTATATATTAATGGAGATATTTATTAGCCTCTCATTTTCATATCTCTAGAAATTTCGTATTTTTAATATTATAAAATTATTGCTTGTGTGCAAAATTTATGTAAAAAGATCTATAATGTATCGTTCAGACATAAATTACATAAAAGGAATATAAACGAGATTTTAATTAGATATTCACATCTAACATAAATTATTTGTTATGTGAAGACTTATGTAGTATATATTATATACATATATATATTTATTTTTTATTTTATTATACCTTTATTTTATTTTATTTTTATCCTTGTTGTTGATAACATGTTATCATGTTATATTTTTGATCTTTTTGAAAATATTAAAAGTTCTGTAGTTTTTCAGTAATTGTAAGTGTGGTAACCACCGTTACTATGATCTTCCCGGGCTCCGTCGATATCAAACCACCAAACCGATCCAGTATCCTGTCAGATTCTAACAAGCCGAGCCTTCTTCCAGATACCTGTCCAGGGTAGGTGCGTTCTCCGCCCCGTCAAGCGAGATAATAACTAGATATGGGATAGGACGAAAAAACTGTGACCAGTTGAAACTCGAAGTTGTGGCCTCTATCTACAATATAGCGTTTTTGCTTGCACTTGCGTAAATGCGCTTCAATGTATGTTCATTATCACATCTTATCAACAGACACGGCATATCGAATTCTGCGATACCCGATATGACATTCTGCCCACATAGAAATAATTGCCCTTATATCAGTTACATCACATTTCACCATATGAGACTTAGCCATATTAGAGATCTAGAATAATATGTAGAAGTTTGTGAGCATAATACATTTAAAATTTAGAGATGTAATTCGATTTAATATACAAATTACAATATTAGTTTAGAAATTAAAATTTTATAGTCTTATCCTATTATATTTCTATCACAAACATACATATAAAAGAAGATCCCACCGAAATATTCTACTCTGCATTAAATTTAATACGGCAAAAAGTATTTTGCATTATTGATCATTGTACACTCATCATATAAATATTTTATGTTTAAAAAGATATATACACATATATATATATATTAGTATTTTTAAGTCATTTTCATGAATTTATTGCAACAAAACAGGAACGAATACACTATTTATTTGCCATTTATATAAAAGGTCTGAATCAGCTTCATACCTCATTGTAAATTTATAGAAAATTTTAACATATAAATTGCATTAAAAAGTCTCTTGTTATTTCACTAAAGCAAGAGTATTATTCTTATAATGCAAGAGTAACAAAGTTGGTATCAAAAACTTGATAAATCTAAAAAGAAATCTTTTCCACAGCAATTTTCTATGGATCTGTGTCCGAATGACGTCCACTACAATGTGAAATGTTATAACGATATTACATAATCTTCGCCTTTGTAAACTACATTCAAAATGTTAAGTGGTATTAATATTGAGGCAACATCGGCACACAGTAATCAAGATATAAGTAAATGACATTCATTGTATATCTCTGCAAACATCACTCTGTCAAAGCTCCTTTAAAAGTGCCGATTTTGCATTTTTAAGTTTATCCAATCGCCTTTGCAGATGAGAGTTTGCTGTCTCCAATTCTTCTACACGAGCTTGCGTTTCTCTTACCTGAAAATAAAAATATAAAAAAATAAGAATTGTAAATTGAATTATAAATGAAAATAAAATAAAAATTTTAAATGGATTTATGTGTATCTAATAAATAATTTTCTAAAGCACTTTGAGAGAGAGAGAGAGAGAGAGAGAGAGAGAGAGAGATATGTACAGATCTTTTTATTCATAACAAAAATCAATATTCATACTTCTCTTTGTAACTTTCTTTTTTCCACTTTTAATTCATCTTCTGCTTTTTCAGATGCTTCTGCAGCTGATTTGTAACGAATTACTTGACTTTCCAATCTAGCTACTGTTGCTTGTAGTGTGGACATATCTTGTTCTGCTTTCTGTAATTTAAATTTATAATCTGCTAACAATTTATTTGCCTCACGCTGAATATCTTCGTTTTCTGACAAGCAACCTGCTGCAACAGATACATTAATTGATATAAATAAAATAATATAATAATCCATAGGAAAATATGTATAACAATTACAAAATATGTGTATGTATGACAATTACATATATAATCTACTTAAAACAGATATATGTAAAACTTTAACCTATTACTGAGCCAGATGATCTCTCGGATCTCATACGACTTCTAGTTTCTTCCAGTTCCAATCTTAAATGTCGAATTTCATCTTGCAATTCCTTTTTTTCAAAAGCAAATTTTCTTAATCGGACATCTAAAACAAAGTTATAAATATGAACATTATATAGAAGTTAATATTATATTTCATCGGATGTAATAAGCAAATACAAGAGAGCAATATTTGCCTATCATATTATCAGATTTAGTCTAAGAAAGCTAGCTAGAAATACTATATTATACTTAATATTTACATTTTATTTAATAATAAATGCATGACCCGACATACCCAGTGAACCTTTACCAGCTGTTTCCAATAATTCTGCAGCTTCTGTACTGACTAGTACCCTCTTTCTACAATATGGCCTATTTTCAATATTTTCATTATCTTCATCTTCGCTTCCTTCATTGTCAATGATAATTAAGCCATTTTCCTAAATTATAATTTATTTTAGACTTGACATGTGACGAGATAAAAATGTTATATACAAGAAATTTTTTTATAAACAATATTATGTGCTGTTACAAATAATACTCAATAAAAAATATACGTACTTGTATAAGTGTATCTCTTTCTAATAATTGTGCCCTGCAAATACCTAAATCTTCCTTTAATTTCTGATTGACTCGTTTTAATTGTTCAACATCTCGATTCTTTTCCCTCAATTCTCTACGTAATTGAACAGTTGTTTCCTCTAACTCTTCTAATTTGTCTTTTAATAAATCAACTTGATAGACATAAGATGATTTTTCGTTGTCTAATTGAGCATTAGCTATCATTGCCTTCCTGAACTTTTCTTCAAATTCTTTTAATTCCAGCTATATAGAAAAGCTGTATATTAGTATTATTATTAGTGCTATTAGGACTTAATAAAGTTTATAAGCATACCCTAATATCTCTATTTAATCCTGCATCTTCTAGTGAATCTTCTGAAGATCTGCGACTTGATTGGAAATTGTTAGAATTTGTAAGAAGCCGTGATGTACGTACTGGATCTGGGGTTACTCTCATAGTTCTGTTCACATCAGCTACAATTATAGATATACATGAATAAATATTTAAATAAAGTATTATATAAAAGAATATATAAATATGTGTATGTAAAGATATTAGCTTTGTAGATCTGTAAGTAATTTATTATAAAGCTATAAAAAATTGAAAATATATGGAACTATTGTAAAATTTATTCACTCTTAAACTACCTGTACACATGTCATAAACCCTGTCAGCATTCTCTTCTGCCTCTTTTTGTTGTCTCTCTAATTCACGCATTCGTATTTCTCTAGCTTCCGCTCTTGCCTGTCTCCTAGCAGCAAGTCTTGCTTCTGCCTGAAAGTATGTATGGAAAATCCAGCCTGTTACCAAAAATATATGTTTACATTTGATTCATTATTAACACATCACCATATTATAAAGCTCCTTAATTCATTAGAATACAAATAGAACAAAACAACAGTTATGAGTTTTTGTATTAAGATGATTAGTTATTCTTCTTATTGGACAGTATGAATTACAAATGTACAATTGTTATACAAACTTAATATTTGGCACAATCAAACTTAATATTTGGCACATTATATAATTTGTATCAAGTTTATAAAAAAATGTAACAATTTTTTTTTAATTTAATGTAATATTTAAATAATAATTTCCCCCAAAAATATGCAAATTAATAAAAAAAGTAAAACTAGCATATAATATTATCTAAAACAAATGTTAAGAAAATTTGCAAACATTTGATAATGTTATAAAATATTTCTATAATAATTTGCTTAATATATCTATATTTACCTATTTGCTTAATATATATATAATCAATATTCCTATAATTCGCTCTTAGAACTATTGTTTTTTGAAGAATATATTATAAATATAATTAATATTATATATATTAAAAGATATAAATATAAGAAATATCAAGTGACAATCAAATATATGTATGCACTTATACACAAGCAATATTATAAGTTAATAATAAATTAGACATGTTTAACTCTTCCCTCTCCTGCTAATATATTACTTTTCGAATTATTAAAATAAGAAAAACATGACACATTAAACAATTTTATTATTTCTTTATTATTTCTATTATTCATATATATTGTATATTTATTTCAATTATTTATAACATAAATTGATATAGAAAAAATATTGCAGAGAAAGAGAATGGCAGCAAAAATCTTTAATGGCAAAATTTTTATTCTTATGATGCATGAATATATATATGTATATATGCATATCAAATAAAAAGATAACTAAATTAACTACATTATTTTTAATAATTGAATTATTTAGACTAATATCCTCAAATATTATCTTTTCATATAATCTTGATATTCATGCATATTATATTTTATATATACAAAGTGTTACATATATTTTTATCAAAGTCATACCTCCTTAGCTATTTGATCGAGCGCTTGATCTTCTGCAGAATGCCGTGTGGCATTCCTCCTTCGCCCAGTTATAGCAGATTCCATTCTGAGTTTTCTTCCTTACAACTTGTGTTTCAATTGCAATAACTCTAGTTAGGAGAATCAAGATGTGCAACGACACACTAACAATAATAAATAATTAGCTAAATAATTTTATATAAATAAGCAAGTTATTAATATTATTACAAATCAATTCCATGCTAAATGTAATGATGATTTCTTTCAATTATAATCATTTACTTTTATTTTCAAGTATTTAAAACAATTTTAATTTGCATATCTTTATATTTTATTCAATCCTTAACAAACTCTTTTTAATAAAAATCTCATTAACATATAAATTGATAATTTATAAAATAATTTTGTTATTCTTCAAAGTCCATTAATTAAATCTATTTTTTTTCATGTGTGTGTATGAGTGCTGTATGTATGTGGCTCTGTATGTATGAACAATGTATAGTACATGAAGGATGAAAAATCAACTGTAGCATAATAATTTTCCACATAAAATATATAAAAAAAAAAAACCATAAAAAATATTATAGTACTTTTTATCCATTAGACGAAATTTTGCCACGTTTCATCGACGTATTCCGATTTTTTTTTTTTTTAAATTTTTCGGTCACACCTTGCATTTCAACGTGTAACACACATGATGATGATGATTAATGCTTTAGACCACAAAATTCGTCAAAGCAAAAAAAGAATGTAATCTAATACGCTTGAAATAAAAAGCAAAAATTTGATATTTTGCGTACACATATTACTCGAATACACACACACACACACACACACACGCAAAACATTATATATATATGTATAATCTTATAATATAAAGCTATATTTCATCGCTTTGTTGTTCACCCATCACAGACAAACACTTACGATTAGGACATGTCAGAACCAGTGGATGTATATTTTTCGAGGATCGAATGACATGCAGAAAATAAACCGGGTGTGCGCTCTATAAATATAACGGATGGAAATCGGACAGCTCGGTCGCGGTAACCATCTGTATCGTGGAACTTTATCGGTGAAACTCGAGAGACAGAGGTGATTTACGATATACGCGAGATGTGGCGAGCATGATGCGAGACACACGCAAAAGCATTACACTTACTCCTCGTCTCTCGCCGCGCCTACATCTGTCTAAAAGTTATATATAAGAAGGTTAAGACACCATCCCCACCGTTACCCATGATGCTATGCGGATGCGGAGGCCACGGACCTCTATATATATGTTACACTAGACCCGCTAACTTTTGACGCTAGGGTGAAGCAAGGACGGCCATTTTCAATTGGGTAGAATATAATTTAATCTCAAAATCGTAAATATTATCTTATATATCGAACTATAACTTTTTTATAATGACTGTACTACAGATAATTGTATAGTGACTATACACAAAAATTCATGAAAATAAAAATTTTAGTTTCACAAGCTCTAAATTTATACTCTTAATTCCCAAATTAATTATTAACTTTATATATTTTAAAAGGCTTCATAAATATTCCGAAATGTATTAGATTTATTAATCTTTGACGTAGCTTATCCATCCAGTTTTTCTTTAATTCTAATATTTTAATTTTAATTCTCAATGTTAATAATTTAATTTTTTAATAACTTAATAATTTAATTTAATTTAATAATTTAATAATTTTAATTTTCAATCTTTAATTTTTTCAACGCGTAGCTTTAAGCCCGTATCACACTATGCATTAAAGATTGAGATTAAAGATTCAAAATTGAAATTTAACCAATCAGGACAAAAAAAATTAATTCCTTTTGTTCTGATTAGTTAAATTCCAATTTTTATTCTTCAATTTTTAATTTTCAATGCGTAGTCTGATACGGGCTTTATACGGGCTTTACGTATTGTTTGATAAACAAGGATCTACAATAGGTGTAGTAAGCCTCAAGCCATAAGAAATTTATCAATCACAGTGAAATGTGAGGAGAATAATCAATTGTTGAGAAGAATAATCAATTGGTAATTTTTCTACGGCTTAAGGCTTACTACGCCTATTGTAAATCCGGCCTAATGCCCGTATCAGACTACGCATTGAAAATTGAAGATTGAAGATTAAAGATTGAAATTTGACTAATCAGGACAAAAGGGACTAAAATTTCTTTGTCCTGATTGGTCAAATTTCAATCTTCAATCCTCAATCTCAATCTTCAATGCATAGTCTGATACGGGCTTTAAGCCCATCGGTTCTTGTCGACTGTTTTTAGGATGCCTTTAGGAACGCGAACCAAGCGTATCATGCCAGCCATATCTGCGTTTGAGAACACGTAACAACAGAGCAAAAACATGGCCGAATATCATTCTGCTGTCGTTCAGTGAAATTTTGTGTACAGTAAAAGGACAATTCGACAAGTTCGAGCGGCGCATCTGAATTGGAAGGCATTATTATGACTTCGATTCACTTCGTCGTTCATCCTTTGCCAGGAACGGACGATCAACTTATTGACAGGTCAGAGAAATATCCATCCGTTATCGGTTTTCCATTAGCGTATCTTTAAGCATGTACGTGTGCTTTCAGTGTGTATTCTTTTATGGTCTTTCAACAGAGATATCGCTTTTACATTATTGCAATATATTACAATACAATGTTATTTCATATTCGCAACTATTCCTATTTCTTACTTTGTCGTGTATATCTACATGTGTCGTGTGTACCTATACGAACATACATTATCCTTAATCTCGTATGATCACTAAATAATACTATACTTTTATGGCAACCTATAAATGTAATTGTTTTAAGACGTGCATATTAAATATTTTCTAACGAAACTAAATTGCGATGTATTGTTAAAGGGTATAAAATTTAGAAATATAACATATTTGATATATACAATTAATGAATCAATCATAAGCTTATGGAGCAATCATAAGCTACTTTAATATGAAAATTTCATAGCATTGAGCTTTTGTGAGATACACTGTTATTATTATGAATGAGAAAAGGGCTCTATCATATCTTTTAAAATATATTTTAAAAAGTTTTGGTTTTAATATGAATTACACAAATTAAAATTATCTAGTTTATTCTAGAAAGTAATGCAATTTTAAAAAATAATTATATTTTAGAATTATATTTTTTTTTAATTATATTTTATATTTTTATTGTTTTAGGCTGAAAGAAGTAGCAGATAAAATCAATAGATATGGATTTGTAACACCATCAGCTTTCAATGGCTTAAAAGTACCAATAAAGCGTGTTGTAGTAGGACCAACGCATATTGCTCTTCTTACAGAGGATAATAGAATATGTCGAGTTGCATATACAGTGTTATCTGATAGATTGGACTTGAGTAAAAGTGAACCTAATAGAAAGTAAGTATAAAGAAAGAAAAAACAAATATAGTTTGAATATGAAAGCAGAATTTAAATTAAAATATATAATTATATATATATATAATATATATATATATATATATATATTCATACATGGGCATATATCTATTTTTATTGCAGTACAAGTAAAAATCATGTTGGAAATTCTAATTCTACACCAAATGGAAATGGAAATAGTAGCAGTAATAGTAGAACAGGAATGTCACGTTCACGTGCACGGATAATGCGTAACAGTTCTGCAATTCGTGGAGGTAGCAATGCCGGAGGGAGTGGTGCTGGTGGTCGTATAGGACCGCCAGGAGTAATTATGGGAGGAGGAAGCAGCAGCAGTTCACGTCCCATCCCATCTGTGCCAGCACCATTTGTACCAGAAGATCTGATATCTCAGGCACAAGTAGTACTGCAAGGAAAAAGTCGTAATCTGATTATCAGAGAATTACAGGTTTATAAGTATTACTATTATTTAGAGCAAAAGTATAATGAAATAATAACAAGAGAGATAAGTTAATAAAATAATTATGATATTGTAGCGTACAAATTTAGATGTTAACTTAGCAGTAAACAATCTTCTGTCACGAGAGGACGAAGAAGGTGATGATGCGGAAGATGCAGCAGACAGTTATGTTCCAGAAGATCTTATATCACTATTAGATAGTGGCTTTAGCAATGAGCATTCAGTTATAATTGATGCTGATTCTATGTTTTCTGAAGATATGTTTGGATACACGGGAATAAGACAGTAATTAATTTCTTAGATTTATCTTAATAAGCACATACAGGCTGTCACATAACTGATGGTACAATTGGGAAGATAATGATCCTATAAGAAAAAAGAAAAATTGAATAAAATTTTTTTAATATAAAACTTTTTTATATACAAAGTTGAAGAAAAATTGTGCATAAAGAGAGTATCTAGATAAATTTTTTTTTTTTTAAATACTCATTGTTTTAATAACTATTGTTAAGATAAATTCAATAATGTATAATATAAGATTGTGGGAGATTACTTAAGCTTAAACAAGTGTAATATATTATCTATTTTGAAAGCCAATTTTGTCAAAAACAAAGGCTTACAAAAAAAATTGAAATTTATTGTATACTTTTATTTTTTCACATTGGATCATTATTTTCATATCATCAGTTATAGGGTAACTTGTACATATTTTTCATTCATGTATTTAAAAAAAATATGTTATTTTCAGTCGTGGAAGCTCTTCGCGCCGCTTAGGGAATGACAGAGAGGGCGAGCGTTCATCTCATGAAAGAGATAATAGAGATCGTGATAGTTTTAGTAGGTGGCGAGAGCGTCAATATTATGGTCCGCGTCGTTGGTTGGAAACTGCTCTTAAAGATTCGTGGGAAAAGGATTCAGGTATTTTATGAAAAATTAAGCGCTTAATTTTTCATAAATTTTTGTATAAAATACCTGAGTTCTATATATATATATATATATACACATAAAATACCTGAATCCTACATATATATATACATACACATATATATACATATATATATGTATATATATATGTGTATATATGTGTGTATGTGTGCGTGTGTGTGTATATATATCTGTGTGTATGTAATAATTTATTGATATATGATTTAATGATTTATAGGATTGCAATTTATGTATTTTAATATTTTAGATAATAAGAAGAAAGAATTAGCATCGCAAAGTCCACTATGGATATCTGAAGATTTAGAGTGGTGGCACGATCGCAGTAACGATCCAGTACCCCGTTTTGTACAAATCGCATCGCTTTACAGTGAATTAATTGCAGTTTCTGCATCAGGACAATTGTACCAATGGAAATGGACAGAATCGGAACCGTATAAAAATGCAGATGTACTTATACATTTTAATAATGCAATTATATTTTGTTTTTTACACATTTTTATAAAATATGTATTATTGATTTTTATAGAATCCAAATGTGCACCATCCAAAAACCATTCCATTGGCATTGACAGCAGAAAAAATAGTCAATATATCTGCTACAGCAATTCGATGTTCTGTTAGTACCGAGAATGGAAAAGTAGCAACTTGGCTTGATGAACTTTTAGGACATGTTGCTTCCCGTCTTGAGCATCCTGCACAAGCTTTCACTGAATTTACATTGGATAAAATTGTATCACTTTATACATGTGCTTTGTACACTGTTGCAAGACTCGAAAGTGGAACATTGTATTGGTGGTGAGTAACATTTCTTTTTTCTTTTTTTCAATTAAGATTAAAATTAATATTTTTAAATGTCTCTTTTAGGGGCGTTTTACCATTTGCACAACGTAAGAAATTGTGGGAAAAATACAAAGCAAAATCACGCAAGCATAGACCATCCACTGTTTTATCAAGCGACATTAGTTATGGGACACATGTATGCATGAAAAATAGTCCAGTTTATCAACCAGGAGCTATTGGTAAAACTTTCATATATCTTACAAATGATTTAGTAGTATTATATGTATATGACAATTTTTATTAATTGTAAACAATACATAATTTATTTTTTAGGATTTACAATAGCTAATGGTATACCAAAAGTGGGACAGTTGCTATCGGCAGCATGGAATGTAGATGCTACTTGTAGATTTAAAATATTACCTGCTGGTACACATGTATCTAACACAAACACTGATAAACGCGAGTCTAATGGAAATGGAACCACAACAGTTGTAAACAAACCGAATCATAAGGAAACTGCTGATAGACTTGATATGCCTCCTCCACCATCACCAGCTTCGAGTACTTGTAGTGATACTGGCAGCATTACAACAAGTCACAGTAAGATACATGCTATTTGTTTGAATGTAAAAAGTGTTGAAATTTTTAAATATTGTAAGACTTTGGGAAAGGGGGATAGGGTCAGTGCTTTACATTATCTACCCATTTTGAAGAATATTGCATTGATACGCGAGAAACGATGGGGGTTTTACTATATTTAGAGGGGTCTACTGAAATGTTATTTTATTTAATGCATCTAGCAATCAAATTTCTTATAAAATGATGATGATTTTTAGAACGACAGAAACGTATAACACCTCGAAGTGAAGGAGAATTTGAAAGAAAGGACGAAGAAGATTGGCAATTGAAAGATGTTGTTTTTGTCGAAGATGTCAAAACTGTACCTATCGGTACGTTTATTATTTATACCTATCGATAAAATATTTTCTTTAAAAATTATAGTTTATGTAAGATGCTTTAATATATATTTCATTATTTTATATTAATAGGAAAAGTTATCAAAGTTGATGGTTGCTATGTAGCAGTTAAATTCTTTTCAAGAGATTCAAAAGAAAAGGAAATTAAAGAAAAGGATTTTAGTCAATCAGATTTTAAGGATCTTACAACGGAGGAGCCAATGAAGTTATTAGCAGATTGTAGACTCTTACGTAAAGATGAGTTACAGGTAACGATAATGCATATTTATGTATGTGTAACATATATACATATATCTAAATATTTAAATTTGTATGTTTTTTTACAGGTAATTAAATCGTCATTAAATCCACGAGCCCCGGATTGTTTTCAAAGAACACCTAGAAGAGTTAACATAATGGAAAGTTCAAATGATAGTTTGTTAACTATATCCATTGATGGACAAGGTACTTTCTTTTAAAAAGCCACTTTTATGTATGATAATCTTTAGCATTTCAGTATATACTATTATTGCTGTTAAAGTAAAATGTAGAAGCAAATTATATTATATTACGGAATATTACAGATTAATAAAAAAATATATATATATATTTATAGGTATTCATGCTATATTAAAAAGTGGAAACAAATTGAGTTATGTAGTGTACAATTTAAGTACAGGAAGATATGTTCAAGATCGTTATATTCCATCTGATATTTCATCATTTTTGGGGCTGCAACCTCAAAATATTAATCTTACAAGTGCAGGAGAGGTATGTTGATAATAGTATTTGCAAATAAAATAATGTGGATAATATTCTATAAGTTTTGAGAAAAAAATAATTCTTTTTGTTCTTTAGAATATCGAATGTTCTATGATTTTACGAGATGGTAATAACACTATTTACCCGATCGCGAAAGATTGCGCTGACGCCATACGCGACCCAAATTGGCTGGATCTAGTACCAGTAAATTGCATAGGTGCAGCAACTATTCCCATTTCTAGCTGCTCCAATTCATCCAACTTAAAAAATCAGGTTGCAGTTATCGCATTAGCATTCGACAATCTTTTGCTTATGCCACGTATATTGCGATGTGATTACGAGAGTGTAAAACAAGTATTTTGTAATTTGGAACAAGACCTAAGTAAGTGTATAGATAGATATGACTTTATAATGTATACAGAATGTAAAAGCATGCATGCATGCGTGCGCGCGCGCGCGTGTGTGTATGTGTGTGATAAATAATACAAGTGTAATAATTATGTCATACATTGCACAGAGAGAGAGAGAGAGGTATGTATGTGTCTATAATATCCAAATATTTTTTATTTTATAGAGAACAATTTGACATATTTAAACGCAAATTCACAAATTCAAACAATACTAAAAGAACGCTGTGATGGCAATCGAAATATACTTCACGCTTGTGTTAACATGTGTTCACCAACTTCCAATAAAGAAACTGAACAAGGTAACATATAACGCAGCAATTTTAATATGAATTATGTATGATAAGAATCGTGATTATTGTTCATTTTAATATTATGTCATGCACACATATCAATTTTTGTTTTATTGAAGTTATTGAACGTGAATTGGTATCGAATGCAGTAGATAACACTTCTGCACCTATTGAAGAGCCAATTCCGACATTAAGTTGGCCACCTGAAGCATTTGATAATACATCCGGAGAAGAGGACAGTTTGTTAAGCATAGGTGCTGCTAGCATATCTATGATGAATAAATCTAGTAAGTATCTTTGTTTTATACTAATAAAATACAAATTTACTTGAGATACTTTGCATTATAAATTTTTTCAATCTTTATTATTATTTTAGATATTGGGGCTACATCTAATAATACATACATTATAGATTCCGTTGAAAGGCGACATAATGCACTGCTTATACTAAAATATATGTGCGAAAATAATATTCTAATACCACACTTGAAGGAATTGTTGACAGCAAAGTATGATTAAAATTTAGATACAATTTTAAAACAAGAACACACGCATTTATATATATACACATCAACAATTTTTTTATATGTGAATATTATATATATTTTTTTTTTCTTTGTATAAAAAGGGATGCTCAAGGACAAACTCCGCTCATGCTCGCCGTATCGGTTCGTGCGTATCATGCAGCTCTTATTTTATTGGACACTATACAAAAAGTAGGCAAAGATGCAAAAGATATTTCAGCCATGATACTGCCAGCTGATGCCAGTCCAGATCTTTCTCCATTATTTGTTACTTGTTGCAATGATACGTGCAGTTTCACATGGACTGGGGCTGAACATATTAATCAAGTATTTTGAATACCTTGTGTAAAAAAAATAGTATTTTATAGAAAACTTCTTTGTTAAATTGAAACTTTCTCTTTTCATTTTAAGGACATTTTCGAATGTAGAACTTGCGGTCTGACGGGATCTTTGTGTTGTTGCACTGAATGCGCTCGTGTTTGTCATAGAGGTCACGATTGCAAGCTTAAAATAACTTCTCCCACAGCATATTGCGATTGTTGGGAAAAATGTAAATGCCGTGCTCTCATTGCCGGTCATCAAGGTGCGAGATATGATTTGCTGTGTCGTCTCATAAACAATACTGATCTTGCCACGAAGATTAATTCACGGTAAAATTGAGTCTCACAAATTTTATACATGGTATCATAAATGTTAATTTTCTTTTTAAATAATAAATTCTCTATTTTTCACATTGCACCGGCATTAGGGGTGAAAGTATTTTGTTATTCTTGGTGCAAACAGTTGGAAGACAACTAGTCGAACAACGACAATTTAGATCAGCACCTAGACAACGATCAACCTCGGCTAGTCGTAAAGCACCGACGTCAGACGGTATACTTTTTATAACTTTCATTGATTATATACATATTTATAATAATTTTTTCAAAGTAAAAATTCAAAATATGTCTTACATAAATTTTGTTTCGTTTTATATGAAATTTTTCCATGACAAACAACATATCTCTGTTTTAAACAAAGTGTTGTTATCCTTGTATATAATACATATAGTTGATGAACCTAAAAACACATATAGTTCTTTTTATAGGTTTAGGTACAGATTCAGATATGCCAGATCATGATTTGGAGCCTCCTCGATTCAGTCGAAAAGCGCTTGAAAGATTGTTGAATGATTGGCCAGCTGTTCAATGTATGATTATGTCAGGTGTTTCTGAAAATGGTACTAATCAATTATTTGGTGATCAGGGACAATTATGCCGGCAAAGTGGTACCGCATTACTAGACAAATTTACGCATACCTTATTTACTAAATGTAGCGCCGAAGTAAGTGGATTAATAATATGTATAGTAGAATCAAGCAATTTGCAAATTATTATTATTTTTTTTTTTGCGTAAGTTATACAAAGAAACAAAATTTATGTAAGACATATTTTGAATTTTTACTTTGAAAAAATTATTATAAATATGTATATAATCAATGAAAGTTATAAAAAGTATACCGTCTGACGTCGGTGCTTTACGACTAGCCGAGGTTGATCGTTGTCTAGGTGCTGATCTAAATTGTCGTTGTTCGACTAGTTGTCTTCCAACTGTTTGCACCAAGAATAACAAAATACTTTCACCCCTAATGCCGGTGCAATGTGAAAAATAGAGAATTTATTATTTAAAAAGAAAATTAACATTTATGATACCATGTATAAAATTTGTGAGACTCAATTTTACCGTGAATTAATCTTCGTGGCAAGATCAGTATTGTTTATGAGACGACACAGCAAATCATATCTCGCACCTTGATGACCGGCAATGAGAGCACGGCATTTACATTTTTCCCAACAATCGCAATATGCTGTGGGAGAAGTTATTTTAAGCTTGCAATCGTGACCTCTATGACAAACACGAGCGCATTCAGTGCAACAACACAAAGATCCCGTCAGACCGCAAGTTCTACATTCGAAAATGTCCTTAAAATGAAAAGAGAAAGTTTCAATTTAACAAAGAAGTTTTCTATAAAATACTATTTTTTTTACACAAGGTATTCAAAATACTTGATTAATATGTTCAGCCCCAGTCCATGTGAAACTGCACGTATCATTGCAACAAGTAACAAATAATGGAGAAAGATCTGGACTGGCATCAGCTGGCAGTATCATGGCTGAAATATCTTTTGCATCTTTGCCTACTTTTTGTATAGTGTCCAATAAAATAAGAGCTGCATGATACGCACGAACCGATACGGCGAGCATGAGCGGAGTTTGTCCTTGAGCATCCCTTTTTATACAAAGAAAAAAAAAATATATATAATATTCACATATAAAAAAATTGTTGATGTGTATATATATAAATGCGTGTGTTCTTGTTTTAAAATTGTATCTAAATTTTAATCATACTTTGCTGTCAACAATTCCTTCAAGTGTGGTATTAGAATATTATTTTCGCACATATATTTTAGTATAAGCAGTGCATTATGTCGCCTTTCAACGGAATCTATAATGTATGTATTATTAGATGTAGCCCCAATATCTAAAATAATAATAAAGATTGAAAAAATTTATAATGCAAAGTATCTCAAGTAAATTTGTATTTTATTAGTATAAAACAAAGATACTTACTAGATTTATTCATCATAGATATGCTAGCAGCACCTATGCTTAACAAACTGTCCTCTTCTCCGGATGTATTATCAAATGCTTCAGGTGGCCAACTTAATGTCGGAATTGGCTCTTCAATAGGTGCAGAAGTGTTATCTACTGCATTCGATACCAATTCACGTTCAATAACTTCAATAAAACAAAAATTGATATGTGTGCATGACATAATATTAAAATGAACAATAATCACGATTCTTATCATACATAATTCATATTAAAATTGCTGCGTTATATGTTACCTTGTTCAGTTTCTTTATTGGAAGTTGGTGAACACATGTTAACACAAGCGTGAAGTATATTTCGATTGCCATCACAGCGTTCTTTTAGTATTGTTTGAATTTGTGAATTTGCGTTTAAATATGTCAAATTGTTCTCTATAAAATAAAAAATATTTGGATATTATAGACACATACATACCTCTCTCTCTCTCTCTGTGCAATGTATGACATAATTATTACACTTGTATTATTTATCACACACATACACACACGCGCGCGCGCGCACGCATGCATGCATGCTTTTACATTCTGTATACATTATAAAGTCATATCTATCTATACACTTACTTAGGTCTTGTTCCAAATTACAAAATACTTGTTTTACACTCTCGTAATCACATCGCAATATACGTGGCATAAGCAAAAGATTGTCGAATGCTAATGCGATAACTGCAACCTGATTTTTTAAGTTGGATGAATTGGAGCAGCTAGAAATGGGAATAGTTGCTGCACCTATGCAATTTACTGGTACTAGATCCAGCCAATTTGGGTCGCGTATGGCGTCAGCGCAATCTTTCGCGATCGGGTAAATAGTGTTATTACCATCTCGTAAAATCATAGAACATTCGATATTCTAAAGAACAAAAAGAATTATTTTTTTCTCAAAACTTATAGAATATTATCCACATTATTTTATTTGCAAATACTATTATCAACATACCTCTCCTGCACTTGTAAGATTAATATTTTGAGGTTGCAGCCCCAAAAATGATGAAATATCAGATGGAATATAACGATCTTGAACATATCTTCCTGTACTTAAATTGTACACTACATAACTCAATTTGTTTCCACTTTTTAATATAGCATGAATACCTATAAATATATATATATATTTTTTTATTAATCTGTAATATTCCGTAATATAATATAATTTGCTTCTACATTTTACTTTAACAGCAATAATAGTATATACTGAAATGCTAAAGATTATCATACATAAAAGTGGCTTTTTAAAAGAAAGTACCTTGTCCATCAATGGATATAGTTAACAAACTATCATTTGAACTTTCCATTATGTTAACTCTTCTAGGTGTTCTTTGAAAACAATCCGGGGCTCGTGGATTTAATGACGATTTAATTACCTGTAAAAAAACATACAAATTTAAATATTTAGATATATGTATATATGTTACACATACATAAATATGCATTATCGTTACCTGTAACTCATCTTTACGTAAGAGTCTACAATCTGCTAATAACTTCATTGGCTCCTCCGTTGTAAGATCCTTAAAATCTGATTGACTAAAATCCTTTTCTTTAATTTCCTTTTCTTTTGAATCTCTTGAAAAGAATTTAACTGCTACATAGCAACCATCAACTTTGATAACTTTTCCTATTAATATAAAATAATGAAATATATATTAAAGCATCTTACATAAACTATAATTTTTAAAGAAAATATTTTATCGATAGGTATAAATAATAAACGTACCGATAGGTACAGTTTTGACATCTTCGACAAAAACAACATCTTTCAATTGCCAATCTTCTTCGTCCTTTCTTTCAAATTCTCCTTCACTTCGAGGTGTTATACGTTTCTGTCGTTCTAAAAATCATCATCATTTTATAAGAAATTTGATTGCTAGATGCATTAAATAAAATAACATTTCAGTAGACCCCTCTAAATATAGTAAAACCCCCATCGTTTCTCGCGTATCAATGCAATATTCTTCAAAATGGGTAGATAATGTAAAGCACTGACCCTATCCCCCTTTCCCAAAGTCTTACAATATTTAAAAATTTCAACACTTTTTACATTCAAACAAATAGCATGTATCTTACTGTGACTTGTTGTAATGCTGCCAGTATCACTACAAGTACTCGAAGCTGGTGATGGTGGAGGAGGCATATCAAGTCTATCAGCAGTTTCCTTATGATTCGGTTTGTTTACAACTGTTGTGGTTCCATTTCCATTAGACTCGCGTTTATCAGTGTTTGTGTTAGATACATGTGTACCAGCAGGTAATATTTTAAATCTACAAGTAGCATCTACATTCCATGCTGCCGATAGCAACTGTCCCACTTTTGGTATACCATTAGCTATTGTAAATCCTAAAAAATAAATTATGTATTGTTTACAATTAATAAAAATTGTCATATACATATAATACTACTAAATCATTTGTAAGATATATGAAAGTTTTACCAATAGCTCCTGGTTGATAAACTGGACTATTTTTCATGCATACATGTGTCCCATAACTAATGTCGCTTGATAAAACAGTGGATGGTCTATGCTTGCGTGATTTTGCTTTGTATTTTTCCCACAATTTCTTACGTTGTGCAAATGGTAAAACGCCCCTAAAAGAGACATTTAAAAATATTAATTTTAATCTTAATTGAAAAAAAGAAAAAAGAAATGTTACTCACCACCAATACAATGTTCCACTTTCGAGTCTTGCAACAGTGTACAAAGCACATGTATAAAGTGATACAATTTTATCCAATGTAAATTCAGTGAAAGCTTGTGCAGGATGCTCAAGACGGGAAGCAACATGTCCTAAAAGTTCATCAAGCCAAGTTGCTACTTTTCCATTCTCGGTACTAACAGAACATCGAATTGCTGTAGCAGATATATTGACTATTTTTTCTGCTGTCAATGCCAATGGAATGGTTTTTGGATGGTGCACATTTGGATTCTATAAAAATCAATAATACATATTTTATAAAAATGTGTAAAAAACAAAATATAATTGCATTATTAAAATGTATAAGTACATCTGCATTTTTATACGGTTCCGATTCTGTCCATTTCCATTGGTACAATTGTCCTGATGCAGAAACTGCAATTAATTCACTGTAAAGCGATGCGATTTGTACAAAACGGGGTACTGGATCGTTACTGCGATCGTGCCACCACTCTAAATCTTCAGATATCCATAGTGGACTTTGCGATGCTAATTCTTTCTTCTTATTATCTAAAATATTAAAATACATAAATTGCAATCCTATAAATCATTAAATCATATATCAATAAATTATTACATACACACAGATATATATACACACACACGCACACATACACACATATATACACATATATATATACATATATATATGTATATATATATGTGTATATATGTGTGTATGTGTGCGTGTGTGTGTATATATATCTGTGTGTATGTAATAATTTATTGATATATGATTTAATGATTTATAGGATTGCAATTTATGTATTTTAATATTTTAGATAATAAGAAGAAAGAATTAGCATCGCAAAGTCCACTATGGATATCTGAAGATTTAGAGTGGTGGCACGATCGCAGTAACGATCCAGTACCCCGTTTTGTACAAATCGCATCGCTTTACAGTGAATTAATTGCAGTTTCTGCATCAGGACAATTGTACCAATGGAAATGGACAGAATCGGAACCGTATAAAAATGCAGATGTACTTATACATTTTAATAATGCAATTATATTTTGTTTTTTACACATTTTTATAAAATATGTATTATTGATTTTTATAGAATCCAAATGTGCACCATCCAAAAACCATTCCATTGGCATTGACAGCAGAAAAAATAGTCAATATATCTGCTACAGCAATTCGATGTTCTGTTAGTACCGAGAATGGAAAAGTAGCAACTTGGCTTGATGAACTTTTAGGACATGTTGCTTCCCGTCTTGAGCATCCTGCACAAGCTTTCACTGAATTTACATTGGATAAAATTGTATCACTTTATACATGTGCTTTGTACACTGTTGCAAGACTCGAAAGTGGAACATTGTATTGGTGGTGAGTAACATTTCTTTTTTCTTTTTTTCAATTAAGATTAAAATTAATATTTTTAAATGTCTCTTTTAGGGGCGTTTTACCATTTGCACAACGTAAGAAATTGTGGGAAAAATACAAAGCAAAATCACGCAAGCATAGACCATCCACTGTTTTATCAAGCGACATTAGTTATGGGACACATGTATGCATGAAAAATAGTCCAGTTTATCAACCAGGAGCTATTGGTAAAACTTTCATATATCTTACAAATGATTTAGTAGTATTATATGTATATGACAATTTTTATTAATTGTAAACAATACATAATTTATTTTTTAGGATTTACAATAGCTAATGGTATACCAAAAGTGGGACAGTTGCTATCGGCAGCATGGAATGTAGATGCTACTTGTAGATTTAAAATATTACCTGCTGGTACACATGTATCTAACACAAACACTGATAAACGCGAGTCTAATGGAAATGGAACCACAACAGTTGTAAACAAACCGAATCATAAGGAAACTGCTGATAGACTTGATATGCCTCCTCCACCATCACCAGCTTCGAGTACTTGTAGTGATACTGGCAGCATTACAACAAGTCACAGTAAGATACATGCTATTTGTTTGAATGTAAAAAGTGTTGAAATTTTTAAATATTGTAAGACTTTGGGAAAGGGGGATAGGGTCAGTGCTTTACATTATCTACCCATTTTGAAGAATATTGCATTGATACGCGAGAAACGATGGGGGTTTTACTATATTTAGAGGGGTCTACTGAAATGTTATTTTATTTAATGCATCTAGCAATCAAATTTCTTATAAAATGATGATGATTTTTAGAACGACAGAAACGTATAACACCTCGAAGTGAAGGAGAATTTGAAAGAAAGGACGAAGAAGATTGGCAATTGAAAGATGTTGTTTTTGTCGAAGATGTCAAAACTGTACCTATCGGTACGTTTATTATTTATACCTATCGATAAAATATTTTCTTTAAAAATTATAGTTTATGTAAGATGCTTTAATATATATTTCATTATTTTATATTAATAGGAAAAGTTATCAAAGTTGATGGTTGCTATGTAGCAGTTAAATTCTTTTCAAGAGATTCAAAAGAAAAGGAAATTAAAGAAAAGGATTTTAGTCAATCAGATTTTAAGGATCTTACAACGGAGGAGCCAATGAAGTTATTAGCAGATTGTAGACTCTTACGTAAAGATGAGTTACAGGTAACGATAATGCATATTTATGTATGTGTAACATATATACATATATCTAAATATTTAAATTTGTATGTTTTTTTACAGGTAATTAAATCGTCATTAAATCCACGAGCCCCGGATTGTTTTCAAAGAACACCTAGAAGAGTTAACATAATGGAAAGTTCAAATGATAGTTTGTTAACTATATCCATTGATGGACAAGGTACTTTCTTTTAAAAAGCCACTTTTATGTATGATAATCTTTAGCATTTCAGTATATACTATTATTGCTGTTAAAGTAAAATGTAGAAGCAAATTATATTATATTACGGAATATTACAGATTAATAAAAAAATATATATATATATTTATAGGTATTCATGCTATATTAAAAAGTGGAAACAAATTGAGTTATGTAGTGTACAATTTAAGTACAGGAAGATATGTTCAAGATCGTTATATTCCATCTGATATTTCATCATTTTTGGGGCTGCAACCTCAAAATATTAATCTTACAAGTGCAGGAGAGGTATGTTGATAATAGTATTTGCAAATAAAATAATGTGGATAATATTCTATAAGTTTTGAGAAAAAAATAATTCTTTTTGTTCTTTAGAATATCGAATGTTCTATGATTTTACGAGATGGTAATAACACTATTTACCCGATCGCGAAAGATTGCGCTGACGCCATACGCGACCCAAATTGGCTGGATCTAGTACCAGTAAATTGCATAGGTGCAGCAACTATTCCCATTTCTAGCTGCTCCAATTCATCCAACTTAAAAAATCAGGTTGCAGTTATCGCATTAGCATTCGACAATCTTTTGCTTATGCCACGTATATTGCGATGTGATTACGAGAGTGTAAAACAAGTATTTTGTAATTTGGAACAAGACCTAAGTAAGTGTATAGATAGATATGACTTTATAATGTATACAGAATGTAAAAGCATGCATGCATGCGTGCGCGCGCGCGCGTGTGTGTATGTGTGTGATAAATAATACAAGTGTAATAATTATGTCATACATTGCACAGAGAGAGAGAGAGAGGTATGTATGTGTCTATAATATCCAAATATTTTTTATTTTATAGAGAACAATTTGACATATTTAAACGCAAATTCACAAATTCAAACAATACTAAAAGAACGCTGTGATGGCAATCGAAATATACTTCACGCTTGTGTTAACATGTGTTCACCAACTTCCAATAAAGAAACTGAACAAGGTAACATATAACGCAGCAATTTTAATATGAATTATGTATGATAAGAATCGTGATTATTGTTCATTTTAATATTATGTCATGCACACATATCAATTTTTGTTTTATTGAAGTTATTGAACGTGAATTGGTATCGAATGCAGTAGATAACACTTCTGCACCTATTGAAGAGCCAATTCCGACATTAAGTTGGCCACCTGAAGCATTTGATAATACATCCGGAGAAGAGGACAGTTTGTTAAGCATAGGTGCTGCTAGCATATCTATGATGAATAAATCTAGTAAGTATCTTTGTTTTATACTAATAAAATACAAATTTACTTGAGATACTTTGCATTATAAATTTTTTCAATCTTTATTATTATTTTAGATATTGGGGCTACATCTAATAATACATACATTATAGATTCCGTTGAAAGGCGACATAATGCACTGCTTATACTAAAATATATGTGCGAAAATAATATTCTAATACCACACTTGAAGGAATTGTTGACAGCAAAGTATGATTAAAATTTAGATACAATTTTAAAACAAGAACACACGCATTTATATATATACACATCAACAATTTTTTTATATGTGAATATTATATATATTTTTTTTTTCTTTGTATAAAAAGGGATGCTCAAGGACAAACTCCGCTCATGCTCGCCGTATCGGTTCGTGCGTATCATGCAGCTCTTATTTTATTGGACACTATACAAAAAGTAGGCAAAGATGCAAAAGATATTTCAGCCATGATACTGCCAGCTGATGCCAGTCCAGATCTTTCTCCATTATTTGTTACTTGTTGCAATGATACGTGCAGTTTCACATGGACTGGGGCTGAACATATTAATCAAGTATTTTGAATACCTTGTGTAAAAAAAATAGTATTTTATAGAAAACTTCTTTGTTAAATTGAAACTTTCTCTTTTCATTTTAAGGACATTTTCGAATGTAGAACTTGCGGTCTGACGGGATCTTTGTGTTGTTGCACTGAATGCGCTCGTGTTTGTCATAGAGGTCACGATTGCAAGCTTAAAATAACTTCTCCCACAGCATATTGCGATTGTTGGGAAAAATGTAAATGCCGTGCTCTCATTGCCGGTCATCAAGGTGCGAGATATGATTTGCTGTGTCGTCTCATAAACAATACTGATCTTGCCACGAAGATTAATTCACGGTAAAATTGAGTCTCACAAATTTTATACATGGTATCATAAATGTTAATTTTCTTTTTAAATAATAAATTCTCTATTTTTCACATTGCACCGGCATTAGGGGTGAAAGTATTTTGTTATTCTTGGTGCAAACAGTTGGAAGACAACTAGTCGAACAACGACAATTTAGATCAGCACCTAGACAACGATCAACCTCGGCTAGTCGTAAAGCACCGACGTCAGACGGTATACTTTTTATAACTTTCATTGATTATATACATATTTATAATAATTTTTTCAAAGTAAAAATTCAAAATATGTCTTACATAAATTTTGTTTCGTTTTATATGAAATTTTTCCATGACAAACAACATATCTCTGTTTTAAACAAAGTGTTGTCATCCTTGTATATAATACATATAGTTGATGAACCTAAAAACACATATAGTTCTTTTTATAGGTTTAGGTACAGATTCAGATATGCCAGATCATGATTTGGAGCCTCCTCGATTCAGTCGAAAAGCGCTTGAAAGATTGTTGAATGATTGGCCAGCTGTTCAATGTATGATTATGTCAGGTGTTTCTGAAAATGGTACTAATCAATTATTTGGTGATCAGGGACAATTATGCCGGCAAAGTGGTACCGCATTACTAGACAAATTTACGCATACCTTATTTACTAAATGTAGCGCCGAAGTAAGTGGATTAATAATATGTATAGTAGAATCAAGCAATTTGCAAATTATTATTATTTTTTTTTTTGCGTAAGTTATACAAAATATAACGAATTTTATAATATTGATAGATGCTCGATACATTGCTCACCACTCTGATTAGAGAATTGCAAGATGAATCTGTGCCTGGACGACAGGAAGAAGCGAATAATGTGGCGCGTCGATTTGTAAGATCCGTGGCACGTATATTTGTTATTTTCACTATAGAAATGGCACCAAACACGACAAAAAGACGAAGGTAAAGTATCTTAATATTTATACTTTTATGTTCTGAGATTTTACATAATTAATGTGCACATAAATATATAAATATCATATTGAAAAAAATTGTTTAATTTTTTTTATAGCACAAATCAAGCTTCGCAACCTTTTATGAAGTGTCGAAAGGTTTTTCAAGCGCTAATCAAATTAGCTATAGAAGAATTATGTGAAACAGCAGATTCATTGATAGCACCAGTCAGATTAGGTGTGGCACGCCCAACCGCACCGTTTACATTAACGAGTTCAGCTATTGAAGTGATTAATAGTTCAGAGGAATTATTTTCTATAGAGCCTTTAATACCTCACAGTGGTGTTAGTTCACAGACATTGGACGCAGCATTACAAACACAGCAAGCAAATAATAATATAGCAATTTCAAGAGGAGATGTTTCTGCTGTAGATGAAGCAGAAGGTGGAGAAGGTATAAGGAAAAAAAACACATTTCTTAATAATGAATGCATTTTTTTGCATCTAAGATAATATATGTCGTGTCTCCAACTATATGAACATATTATGTTTGTTTAGAAATACCTATGGACATGGATGGTGATATTAGCGAACACGAGGAATCGGGTGTTTCTGGAACCGCTACTGGTCAACCAATTGGTGAAGTTGACTCGAATGTCGGTGGTGTTGGTGAAGAACAAGCTGGAGACGGTGAATCAGATACAGAATTGGACCTTTTGGCGGAAGCGGAAACTGAATCCGATTCAGATGACAATCATAGCAATCAGGATGCAGCATCCGCGCAACGTAGCGTGCAAACTGGTGCGACCGCTGGTTCCGATGGTGGAATGGGATCGATATTATTGTTCCCCGAGGATGAATCGGGAGAATCGAGTCAACAGGAGGACGATGAAAGTGAAGCCGGTGAAACAGATGAACAAGATAATGAGGATTTCCAAATTGGCGATGAACAATTAGAGCGTAGAAGGTAAATTGTTATTACGAAAGTTATTTAGCTTTTTTCAGTACATTTACAAATCTAGCACTTGAAACTTAAGAGGCTCCTTGTTTTTCTTTCGTATGAGTGAAAAACATTCGAAAATGCATGCAATAAAAAAATTTATTTTAGAAAGTAGCACCAAAAAATCTTAAAAATATTCTCTTTATCTAGAATTTTGAATAAAAATACCTGGAAGATTAGGGAATTTTTTGACAAGATTTTGACATTTGAGTAGACACCCTAAAGATGATTCATAAGCAATCGGAGCAAAAGAATATTTTAATGTATCTTAAATATACGCGGGAAAAAGAGAATATGCTAGATTCCCATGCCTGGGAATGTAATTACTTACATATTATTTCAGTGGATCGTCCGGTCATTTACATCGTAATAATCTTGCTCCTGTATATATGCAATGGGCAATACGCAATCGTGAATCGAACACGCGCACAGCGGGTTTACGAGTAACAGGTGGAAGTAATCTGGTTTTCATTGATCCCGCATCTTTAAGACGAACCACTGCCACATCGGCTGTTGCAACTGCGCAAGAACCTATAACCATGGGGACCACTGCTAGTTGCCTGGCGCGAGCATTTGGAATTGTTATTCGGCAAATTGCCGATCTGTTAGTTATCATGCAAGATTATAAGAATCTAGCGCCCACCTTGCCACGATTGATAGAGATTACTTTTCAAGATGCTCTAAATTTACAGGTATGTAAACTCCACAGAGGGTGCCTTCTCCCTGTAATTCTCAGGGATAATATACCTATATCTGTTTATATATTTTCAACGTCTTAACAAAATATTGAATATACAATACATATTTTTTGTTGTAATTTTTAGTAGTAAAAAATGAAAAATGTTTATCTTATGAAAGTTGTTCAATTTTTTCAGTACATTTGCAAAACTAGCACTTCAAATTTAAATGGCTCTGTGTTTTTCTTTCGTGTGAGTGCAAAGTATTAAAAAACGCATACAATAAAAGAACTTATTTTTTAGAAAGTTGCACTAAAAATTTTTTTAAATATTCTCTTTATCTGGAATTTTGAACAAAAATACCTGAAAAATCAGAGAATTTTTTTACGATATTTGAATAGATTCCCTGTCCCAGTTTTTCCACTTTTATTGCATCATATTACACTTAATAACTTGTATGAGTCAAGTCAGAGAATAACGAATATTATAACAAATTATTTCTTTCATTAGTCATATTTAGAAGCGCACTTGAAACCTACTTGGGATTGGTTACTCACGGTGATGGATGCTACAGAGGCACAGTTGAGATTCGGAGTATCTTTGACACGTAGCGCGGATCCGACTCATCCCGAACATCCTCTTAATAATACTCCATCTTTGTCCGGTGGTAATTTCAGCGGTTTATTGAACACAGCCGCTCTTTCGCTGACTTTACAAGGAAATACAGGTCGGAACCCTCGCGGCAGTATCACTACCAGCTCGAATATCTCCACTCCTCAAGCTTCAACACGACTCACCGTTGGTTTTGCAGGCGTTGGCGAGCCTCCGAGGAGCAGTAGAGAACGCGAAGGTTTGCCTTATAATCTATCTTATATTAAGTTCTTAATTTTGATATATATATTTTTACACATTGGATTGTTTATATTTGTGTGATTATGTCCTAAAATACATAACTTATATGATTACACACACATATAGTCTATGCTAACTTTTGACTATTACAGCCGAAAGTTTTCATACAATTACAAAAAGAAATACTTTGCAATATATTTCAGGTGGCGATGCACACTCGGCGAGACGCGAATTCTTATCATATTGCCTGTCTTTAATGCGCGCCCACAACAGTGAACATAGAGATAGTCTACCGGTTTTAGACGTCTCAGCTTTAAGACATGTCGCTTATGTATTTGATGCACTTGTATATTATATGCGTTCTCTTTCGGAACCTCTTGCTTCCAGAGGTGAGACTCAGAAAGAATCGTCCACTTTTTCCAGTTGGAATGATCAGGTATGTGAAAATGGCTTTATTTAAAATATGTATATTTTATTCTTTTTTTTAAATATAAATACAGTATTATATAATACAAGAAAAAAAAACAGCATAATTTTATTAAACTTCGAACTTTGATACTGTTAAAACGATTTGTATTTATAGTAATGGAAACACTAAAATCTTTTTTGCATACTTAAAAGTTTCGGAAATCAAACTTACCATATATAATTACCAATTTTAAGATTCCTGACATAAAGATCTTGTTTGTAGGATGAAAATGACAATGACGAAGGTGAGGAATACAATTCACCAGCACCAACTGCCATGGAAACAGATTCTGTAGATTATCCAGATTTACTTCAAGTGCCCATATGTGGATCTGGAAATCACGGCAACTCGACACCGAAAGGAAGGAAACATCCTTTTCTACAAAGATCAGATTCTACTTTGTGCCTTGGTTGCCCGCCTCTAGATCCATTTGATACTGTAATAGGTGAAGCGCTGCCGTTGGCTGATCAACCGCACTTATTGCAGCCACATTCGAGACGCGAAGATCTCTTTGGCATCCCGAGACAACCAACTTATTCTAATACGGGTGGATCTAGTCAAAATTCTTTGGAAGGTTTGCCAACAAGACTAGGTCTCTCTGCACGACAGGGCACCGACAGTCATAACAGTCTGACAACTCCAACATTTAGTCAAGTTGTACAAGGACCGCTTTCTAATTCTAATTTAGAATCAAGAAGAAATTCCACTGGGGACTTGAATTCTATCAAATATATGGTAAAATATTTTTCTATAATAATATTAGAGTGCACATTCTCTCTTCTTATACATGAGCTTATAAAATGTCTTACAAGCGAGATATTAAGGAAAAGTATATGAATTAATAATTAATACCAAAAAAATTTCAGGATAAATTAAAATCGTGTAATCATCCTAATGAAGGACATTCTCTCGTAGCAGAGCAAATTGATAGAGCACCTATTATAGTATCTACAAATAATCAAAGTGATGCAACAGCGAGTATCAAGGGCAAAGACATATGCAAAAGTAGTAGAAGTGTTATAGTCAGAGCTGGAACAGTAACGGTAAGTGATTATTTTTCGTCTATATATATCAAATATATGGACACATCTATGTATGTGTATATACGGGGTATTCTAAAATCAGTGCATCACCTGTTAATGACAGATTTTTGGGAGCATTTGGAGATGATTTTTCCTGAACGAAAATGTCGAGGCATCAATAATTTCCCACTTATAAACGATTAATAAAGCAGGGCTGTTCACAACCTTTGTGGAGAATTAAAAGATTAACAAAATTACATTTTTCATTTAAATTCAGATGGAGCTACTTTAACAGAATTTTAATTTAAGGTTTAGTTATAAAGCTATATCGTGGCAAAAATTGAAAATTTGCAAAAAATGATGACCTTTCTCGACATTTTTGCTGAAGAAAAAAATCGTTTTCAAATGGTCTCAAGCATTTGTCATTAGCAGGTGATGCGCCGACTCTGAGACACCCTATGTGTGTGTCTGAGGATAAATTAAAATCGTGTAATCATCCTAATGAAGGACATTCTCTCGTAGCAGAGCAAATTGATAGAGCACCTATTATAGTATCTACAAATAATCAAAGTGATGCAACAGCGAGTATCAAGGGCAAAGACATATGCAAAAGTAGTAGAAGTGTTATAGTCAGAGCTGGAACAGTAACGGTAAGTGATTATTTTTCGTCTATATATATCAAATATATGGACACATCTATGTATGTGTATATACGGGGTATTCTAAAATCAGTGCATCACCTGTTAATGACAGATTTTTGGGAGCATTTGGAGATGATTTTTCCTGAACGAAAATGTCGAGGCATCAATAATTTCCCACTTATAAACGATTAATAAAGCAGGGCTGTTCACAACCTTTGTGGAGAATTAAAAGATTAACAAAATTACATTTTTCATTTAAATTCAGATGGAGCTACTTTAACAGAATTTTAATTTAAGGTTTAGTTATAAAGCTATATCGTGGCAAAAATTGAAAATTTGCAAAAAATGATGACCTTTCTCGACATTTTTGCTGAAGAAAAAAATCGTTTTCAAATGGTCTCAAGCATTTGTCATTAGCAGGTGATGCGCCGACTCTGAGACACCCTATGTGTGTGTCTGTGTGTGTGTGTGTGTGTATGTGTGTGTGTATGTATGTGTATTATGTCTATTGATCCACAATTTATTTTCCGAAGGAATCAAATACAAATAAAATCGGTGCGCCTGAAATATTGGTTGTGCCAACTATCGATAGTCAAAATGTATCCGAAGAAGTCGATCCAGCTGCCACAAGTCACGAGATATCTGCTCACGAAACCGTTGAAACGAGTCCAATAGATTCCGCCAAAGCGGTATCATCAATCGGGACGAATATCTCGCATAATATCTTGTTAGGACGATGGCGATTGGCATTGGATTTGTTTGGACGAGTTTTTATGGAAGATGTAGGCTTAGAAGCTGGTTCAGTTGTATCCGAATTGGGAGGGTTTCCCGTGAAGGAAGCTAAGTTCCGTAGAGATATGGAAAAACTTAGAAACTCGCAACAAAAAGATATCACTATCAAGGTATTATATTCATACAAATCAACAATTTATTTGGTAAATATATAACGTAAACTATTTGTAATAAATGATCGAATATCAAATTATCATTTGCATCAGGTGGAACGAGATAGAACACAGTTATTGGTACAGACAATGAAAGAATTAAATACACAGTATAATATATATAATAGAAGAGCTTCGAACACTCCGCCTTTGGCAGTGAGTCGAGTTAAAGTCTTTTTCAAGGATGAACCTGGCGAAGGAGCCGGTGTTACTCGAAGCTTTTATACTGCAATTGCTGAAGTTTGTATAAAATACGAAATATAAAATTAGTGTAAGACGGTTCTTAACTATAAGACGATTTACATTATTATTTCTGTAGGCATTACTTGCGAATGAAAAGCTTCCGAATCTCGAAGCAGCACAAGTAGGATCGAAATACACGCAATACAATGTTTTGCAGAAACTGAAAAGCAGAGATCGTGACCGTGATCTCAGACGACAAGTACGTTGATATAAAAAATTAGTTTCCAATTTATTATATAATTATATATATATGAATATATTATACGATATTATTTTACACAATCTTATTTCAGAATACACGTTCTTCTGGAAAATGTCGCGAGACACGCCGGACCTTATCTTTCGATGCTCGTTCTTTCCATCCATCTAACACAATCGAAGGAAATAATAGTTCCACACCTGGTAGCTCGTCATCCAGTACTCACCCCTTGCCAATTAATCATCCTAGTAACGATCACTTGACCATGCATCAACAACAGCTCGGCGACAGATTGTATCCTAAGGTTTTACTCCATGCACTCATTAAAAATATATTTAAGATTTATATTTGTTCAGTAATGAGCAAATCCATTTTATAGATTTTTTGTCTTGTATAATTATTATTTGTTTGTTAACATAGGTACATGCTTTACGACCAGCATTGGCTGAAAAGATAACTGGTATGTTGTTGGAATTATCACCGGCCCAACTATTGATGCTATTGGCTTCAGAGGATGCTCTACGACAGAAAGTAGAAGAAGCGTTTGAATTGATTCATAGTCATACTCAAGATTTAACCAGCGAAATGCTGGATCTCGATGTATTTAGCTTAACCGAACGTTGCGCGGCAAATAAGAAAAAACTGGAAAATAGCATTTTAGATGACACCGAAGACAATGCTCCGCTTTTTTATTCTCCCGGTAAACGTGGTTTTTATACACCAAGACAAGGCAGAGGCAGCTACGAACGATTAAATGCATTCAGGAATGTAGGAAGGTAAGTTTCGAGTGCTTGATTATATGTATATTGATTACATTTTCATTATGCATGTAATAATTAAACTGTTTTACATTTTGCTTTTAGACTTATAGGATTATGCCTCTTACAAAATGAGCTTTGTCCTCTATTTTTGAATCGTCATGTAATTAAATATATCTTAGGAAGGCCTATACGTTTCCACGATCTTGCATTTTTCGATTCTGTTATTTATGAAAGCTTGCGACAACTGGTTATCGATGCTGAAACGAAAGACAGTAATAGCTTATTCTCGGCTTTGGATCTTACATTCAGGTACAACTTTATATTTGCTTCATCTAGTCATACACGCACACGCACGTGATTTTTTTTATTTATGTTTGCTAAATATTTTTTAGTCAATATAATGAGCGTTATATCAATTCTGAACTCCTTTTTTAACACCCTGAAAATGATTTATTTTCTGAGCAGATAATTTTTAAAAAATATAACATTTTTCAAAAAATGTTTTCAACAAAAGTTATATGGTCGAAAAAATTGTGAGTTTTCTTTTAAAAAAGCCAAGTCGATTTTGACGTGACTTCAACAATTCTATTCATGGACAAACCAAAATTGTTATGTTATTTTCCCCTGAAAACTAGACTATATTGAAAATATTTTTTTTTTAATGAAGTATTTTTTTCTAATCATTTCTCTAGTTAAGCATTGTGTCCATGATGCTAGAACTCGGTCCGAGAAATGTATAGCCAATCAATTTGCAGCTTTCACGAAAAATTTTATTGGCTACACGTTTCTCGGACCGAGTTCTACCTTCGTGAACACAAGGCTTTAAAATAAAATTAATCATTCTATGCCCACATATACACATACAGCATGTGTTCCTTAACTAATAGTATAATCGGGAAAATAATGATTCTATAATAAAAATAAGTTGAAAAAGAATTTAATTTTTTTTTCGTACGAGAGTTTGTTTTTGACAAAATTGCCTTCAAAAATCGAAAAATTGACACCGTATATTATACTTTTTTGAATATGAATGATCTTTAACAACACCTTGTGTGTGTGTGTTTTCATATATAAAATACTAAAGAATAGTTTAGTAAATATTTTTTAAAAGATTGAGTAAACATGAATGGCAAAATCAATTCTGTCAAAGTTAAAAGCTATTTTCGATTTTGTTAAAGCAAGTAACTTGTATCTTTTTATCTATCGTATGCGATGTGAGAACGAAAGATCTTACATATTCTCACTCTGATATTTACAGAAGGTATTGTATGCGTATGTACGTATGCATGCGTGCATGCACGCGCGCACAACTTAAGCCGTTATTTCAAACGTCATTTTGAATTTCAGTATTGATTTATGTCCCGAAGAAGGAGGTGGTTCAATCGAACTTGTATCAAATGGACGTGACATAGAAGTAACTGCAAATAATGTATATGATTATGTACGCAAATATGCTGAAGTTCGTATGATCAAGGTACAAGAAAAAGCTTTGCATGCCATGCGTGATGGAGTTTTCGATGTCCTTCCCGATGGAGCGCTCGATGGTTTAACTTCCGAAGATTTGAGACTCCTTTTGAATGGAGTCGGAGATATTAACGTGTCAGTTCTGATATCGTATACGTCATTTAATGACGAGTCTGGTGAATCGACGGAAAGATTGGTTAAATTTAAACGTTGGTTATGGTCCATCGTTGAGAAAATGTCACATGTAGAAAGGCAGGACTTGGTAAGAGTTTTTGCCTAAATTATTTTCCTATTGAAAGACTTGTGAATCTTTATAAATCGGCAATTATTATTTTCAAATTAATATAAATAAATTATGATCGTATTTATATAATAATTTGTTTTTATATATTGTAGGTATATTTTTGGACTGGTTCTCCTGCACTACCTGCAAGTGAAGATGGTTTCCAACCGATGCCGACCGTAACAATTCGGCCAGCAGATGACGCGCATCTACCAACCGCAAATACATGTATTTCCCGATTATATGTTCCACTGTACAGCTCTCGTCATGTGTTACGACACAAACTACTTCTCGCTATTAAATCAAAAAATTTTGGATTTGTATGAATTTAATTCTGTGTGGCTATGTTGTATACAAAACAAAGTCACATTGTTGATAATGATACAAGACCGGAGTTGTATATGTTGTTATTTTTTTCCCTCTAGAAAAAAATTTTTAACATTTATAAATTTATAAGGTGTAATTATGCATATGATTTTTTTTGTTCCTGAAAAATAGTTTTTATCTTCATATATATAAAGAGAGAGAATTTTATATTATATAAAATGTCTTATTTAGTCTCTCTCTCTTTCTCTCTCTTTATAGCGAACAAATAAAGTTTTCTCTAAAATCATATGAGACTTCATTTACTTATCTTGAATTTTAATTTATATATGTGTCACATTCTCTACTCGAAGCACATAAATTTAATAATAGTCTAATAAACTTATTTCATATAATTATAATTACATCTTTGCATTATTCATGTATTTTTGCACATAAAAATTATTAATCTTGCTAAAAATTTTCATATTGTGGTAAAAATGTTTTTATTACGCATTTTTAAAATGTAACATAAAATAATGACAAAGTTTTTTTTGATAAACAGGATTTTTTATGTATATCAATAGCCAGTTTCTTGAATAATAGTGATATATGACATGATATATATCACACACACACATTATGTATATATATAAAACTTAAAAGACTATGTATGAATATCAGATTATAAAACGTGAAATTTAATATTCAACAGTATGGCAAAATTTCCGAACAATATGTATTTCAGTCTCAATACAGAAGCTAAAGAATTATTAATAAGTAAATTGTAATATAGTATATATGTAATACCTCAAAAATATTATTAAACATTAATCTCTTTGTTTATCTTGCTAATTACACTGTGTGTGTGTGTGTGTGTGTGTGTGTGTGTGTGTGAGTGTACACATATACGCGTGCGCATGTATGTGTATTCATAATTGAAAATTCGTAATTTAAATTAACTAAACATTTTAAATTAAAACAATAAGAAAAGTAATCTAGGAATGTCAAGCTGCCTATTCTGCTGTACTGTTACTTTTTTTGTAAACATAATTACTTTTTAGCATTGGAAATCGTGTTTCTAATATAAAATAATGTAAACTCTGTCACTCTAACACTGCTTAGTCTTGGCATATACATGTATATGTTTTTTACTTTTTCCAGAATTATAACAATATATATTTTCGAAATGATTTATTATTTTAAAAAAGAAAAAAATTCAAGTTTTTTTGTATAGTTTTAAATATATTTTTCCTATATGGTAAACTGAAATAGTAAAAAATAATCCATTATCTTTAATTTACTTAAAAAAAGTCTAATGCTAATATATATTTATATATAATATAATAAATCTCATTATTTATATATATATATAAATTTCTAAAAATCTCGTAAAGAGTTATATACAATAATTATATTATCAATTATTTACTTGACAAAGTATCGAGAGAGATAGAAACTTATGTACAATGGTTACCTATTGACCACTTCCTGAACTGTTTTGGGGTAATTTCGCTGTCGATTGGCTTAATTGAGCCAATGTTTCTGGAGTTGCATGCGCTTTTAATATTGAATTTTCTGCTTCTAATTGATTGATACGATCCATAAGCTCAGCTATCTTTTCTTTTAGTACTTCTACTTCTTCTCGTACCGCGAACATTAAATGACTTTTAACCAGATCCTAGAAAAGATTATAATATTTTACGACCATTATCATTTATTAAGTTAACAAGCAGTAAATGGTTCCATTATAGCAGCCTCTTACCATAGCTTGTTCAATCTTGTTATCAATTGCCACAGCGCTTGTCCCCGACATACTATAATATAAATTATATATATATATATATATATATATATATAATATAAATAGAAAATTTATTATTTGAAAACTTATAAAAATGAACTACATATTAAAAATGAAAGACAGATCGATCGACATATACTCTTCGTGCTTTTATAATTAAAAGCCTGAAATAACTTTTTTTTAGATTATAAATCAGATATTGTGTGTATGTATAATTCAGATTGGTTGATATTTTTTTTTTTAAATAATTATTTTTCTTCTATACTTTTCAACACATTTATTTTTATTTATTTCCAAATTATGTTTTATATAATTACAATAATTAAAAAATATATATCAAGATATGATAAATAAAAAAAGTTACAGATTAAAAATTATAGATTAAAAAATTATGTTTAAATGTTTTATGTGATAAGAAATTTTAAATAAGGTACAGCTAAATGATATCGTTAATTATTTTTCATTTGTTTCATGGAGGTTTAAAAAACTATTTTATACTTATTAGGCGAAAAAGACGATCAAATAAACTAATTTCTGCCAAACAAGTGTAACATATGTTACACATGTTTTTTTGTAATTTTTGAGTTGCTGAATATGATGATATCAGTTTTAATTGTCAAAATTCGTATTAAAGGGGTCAAAAATTAAAAAAAAACCTTATTTTGGTCCCTTTAAGACAAATTTTTACCATTTTCCCACAGCTTAAGACAAATAAAACTGACTATTACTATCGTATTCAGCAGCTCAAAAACTATAAGAAAACATGTATAACTTACATTACATTTCTTAGGCAGAAATCGGTCTATTTAATCTATTTTGTCCTTTATAGTATTCCTTATTCAGTGTATTAGTTATATTAATATTTCAATGATTAATAAGTATAAATGCAAACATTAAATGCGATGTTTTATCTTGCAGATGATAATATTGCAAGTAAAGAAAATGAATATCCGGCCGTAGCAGAGATACAAGATGAAATTCGTGAGTCAGCATATATTCTACTTCAGGCTACATCTGCGGATAATGAAATATATGAAATAAATACTTATATAATGAATGAAATCAATATTTTTATAGGTGAAGAAGTTTTACATAAGAAATGCAACAATGTCCCACTTAAGGAATTACAAATAAAATTATCAAGAATCGATGACAGTATTCTACATAAAATAGCCAAAAAAAATGAAAGTTATAAAAAAACAATTACAAAAAGAAAGTGTTCGACTAAATTAAGAATATAACCAGAAGGTAATGAATTAAATATTATAAAAAAGTTTGTCTTTTCTTTTCACCTATAATTCTTTCATAAACTTTGAAAAGAAAAAAACAAGTAAATAAATCATTATTTATGAAATTATTAAAGACGTAGAAAAAAATAAACATTCGCTTTAACTGCTTCAATCTTAAATAATATTTTTATAATTAAAGAAAATATTTCTGAACATAGATTTTGAGATTCCTTTTCAATGCTATAATTTAGATACTATAGTGTTATAGTTCGGTTATTAATATTAAAAAAGTTATATTTTCAGTCTATTCTTTATGTACTTATGGAGTTATAACCTTCAAATAAGAGTTATAATCTACGTTACAAATTGGACATCGTTTTGATTGCAATTGCAAGATACAATCCATACAACAACATAAGTGACCACAAGGAATAAATATATGATCTGCTCTTTTTACTAAGCAGACACTGCAACAGTTAGATGTACGTATATTAGATATTGGCTGCACTGGGTAATATGGAATATCTTCTTTTTCGGTTTCATCTGGAAAAATATTGCCATAATCATCGGGAGGAATGCAATAAATATCTTCATCACCTGCAATAAAAGGAAATTATGATTTTAGGGTACAATTAGCAAATGTTTGTTTTATATGTAACATTAATGCAGTTTAAAATAGAGAAAAACAGAAAATTACACTTATAATAGATTTTGTTTTGATAAGAACGCTATATATCATATGTATTATCTTATCTTCTATGAAGCATAAACAAAATTTAAAGGCTAAAAGAATCAATATTCAGTAAATTATTTTACTTATAATATACTATACTTTGTAATAATAAAAATTATTATACATATAAAGTATAAAGTATTGTCAGAAAATTTATAAATTTTGAGTAAGTGTAATTTTCTGTTTTTCTCTATTTTAAACTGCATTAATGTTACATATAAAACAAACATTTGCTAATTGTACCCTAAAATCATAATTTCCTTTTATTGCAGGTGATGAAGATATTTATTGCATTCCTCCCGATGATTATGGCAATATTTTTCCAGATGAAACCGAAAAAGAAGATATTCCATATTACCCAGTGCAGCCAATATCTAATATACGTACATCTAACTGTTGCAGCGTCTGCTTAGTAAAAAGAGCAGATCATATATTTATTCCTTGTGGTCACTTATGTTGTTGTATGGATTGTATCTTGCAATTGCAATCAAAACGATGTCCAATTTGTAACGTAGATTATAACTCTTATTTGAAGGTTATAACTCCATAAGTACATAAAGAATAGACTAAAAATATAACTTTTTTAATATTAATAACTGAACTATAACACTATAGTATCTAAATTATAGCATTGAAAAGGAATCTCAAAATCTATGTTCAGAAATATTTTCTTTAATTATAAAAATATTATTTAAGATTGAAGCAGTTAAAGCGAATGTTTATTTTTTTCTACGTCTTTAATAATTTCATAAATAATGATTTATTTACTTGTTTTTTTCTTTTCAAAGTTTATGAAAGAATTATAGGTGAAAAGAAAAGACAAACTTTTTTATAATATTTAATTCATTACCTTCTGGTTATATTCTTAATTTAGTCGAACACTTTCTTTTTGTAATTGTTTTTTTATAACTTTCATTTTTTTTGGCTATTTTATGTAGAATACTGTCATCGATTCTTGATAATTTTATTTGTAATTCCTTAAGTGGGACATTGTTGCATTTCTTATGTAAAACTTCTTCACCTATAAAAATATTGATTTCATTCATTATATAAGTATTTATTTCATATATTTCATTATCCGCAGATGTAGCCTGAAGTAGAATATATGCTGACTCACGAATTTCATCTTGTATCTCTGCTACGGCCGGATATTCATTTTCTTTACTTGCAATATTATCATCTGCAAGATAAAACATCGCATTTAATGTTTGCATTTATACTTATTAATCATTGAAATATTAATATAACTAATACACTGAATAAGGAATACTATAAAGGACAAAATAGATTAAATAGACCGATTTCTGCCTAAGAAATGTAATGTAAGTTATACATGTTTTCTTATAGTTTTTGAGCTGCTGAATACGATAGTAATAGTCAGTTTTATTTGTCTTAAGCTGTGGGAAAATGGTAAAAATTTGTCTTAAAGGGACCAAAATAAGGTTTTTTTTTATTTTTGACCCCTTTAATACGAATTTTGACAATTAAAACTGATATCATCATATTCAGCAACTCAAAAATTACAAACAAACATGTGTAACATATGTTACACTTGTTTGGCAGAAATTAGTTTATTTGATCGTCTTTTTCGCCTAATAAGTATAAAATAGTTTTTTAAACCTCCATGAAACAAATGAAAAATAATTAACGATATCATTTAGCTGTACCTTATTTAAAATTTCTTATCACATAAAACATTTAAACATAATTTTTTAATCTATAATTTTTAATCTGTAACTTTTTTTATTTATCATATCTTGATATATATTTTTTAATTATTGTAATTATATAAAACATAATTTGGAAATAAATAAAAATAAATGTGTTGAAAAGTATAGAAGAAAA